ATACGAGAATGACGAGCAGGCCCGAATTTGTCGCTCGAATTTTCACACTCAAATATCATTTTCGATAACGCAATACATTGAATGTGATATGTAGGAGCCTTACTAATATTGTAAATATAAAAATTTGCATAAAAATGCTTGAATATTTTGTTGACGCTTTGTTGACGTCGTTGACGCTGAAATAGCATGACCTGACATTAGGCCCTACATGTAGGCCTATTCCGATATTCGATAATCCTGATGACGGGGAACGAATCCGTTTAATTCTTCGTTTCTGCTCCCAGCAAAAGAAACTATTCTAAGGTTTTAAAAGTTGAGAACCCACCTTTGCTTCTTCTTCGGGGAGAAGTGGCCTGTCCAGGCGATTTAAGTTGTCAATTTGGCGTAATTTCTTACGCAATTTACGGACTTCAACTGAGAGAGTTTGCGTGTCAATGGAGGACGCCATCACGATTTTTATTGTTTGTTGGGAAAAGACCCTTCATTTCTCCAGTAATGAACGGTGGAGAAGCCGAGGCATGTGTGGAATAGAGTAAAACCAGTACGAAGTGGAGCACATTTTAAAAGCAATTAAGATTTAATTACATCATCTCCTAAAGGTTGAATTGGAGTATCACTACATCGAGGAGGAGCATGGACGGGGTTGATGGTGAAATCACCACTCTGCTTGAAAATAACACGGTAATGACCCTTTTTTCCAACGTTCGTGTTTTGTCGGCTGCATGCCGATCGCTCGAGTCTTTTACCCCCGGAAAAATTCAGCTGATGACCATGGGTTTGTCCTGATGTTCATCCAGCTAATCATATTCGGCCCCCCTCTCAAATGAAATGGCCTCATTGTTGCAAACATTTTCTATCGCAAACATCTATTTTCAGACATTACTCCAAGTTTTGCCTCCAAAATTCAGTTCATTTCCACCAGTAACATTATGCCGCTTTCCAAAGGCAGCTAGTCCCGTGAAGAAAACTCCATTGTATTCAGGGCGGATCCAGGAATTTTTCGGAAAGGGGGGTAAGCCAGAGATTTTTGTCAATGTCTCATTTTTGCATCCAAGCGGAACTTTGATAAAACATTACATAATACATACATTGTTTCCAAGGGTATTATTTTCCCAATTTTTTGTATAGCCCGAGGGGAGGGGGAGCAAGCCAGTTCGTACCGTGTGGAGACCGAAAATGTTTCATTAGTTCATCATGTCAATACACTTCCTAATGCAAATACATACCAGAATCAGCTTTTGTGCGTCGAAAAACCATTCAACCACAATATCCTCCACCCCACCATTTATCCTTCCATGCCCGGCCACCGCCCTTTGTTAGTAAACTGCAACATTTTCCCCATGGCACAATTGCAAAGACCGGTAAACGTAAAAAGCAACATTTTTTTCAATTTGTTTTTTATTCAATAACATCTTGTTTAAGCTGCCAAGTAAATATTTTCCAGGGCTGTTTATAAAGAAGTACCGATATAAAAATCTGTTATTACTTTGGTTATTTATTTAAGAATTTGGAAGCGACTATGCAGTGCTTAGATGTACAATGTACTATGACATTTTAATGATGCTAAAACAAGGCATCCTGAGAAGTCAAAAGATATATGGAATGGTTTCAGCGCAAATAGTAGCTGAAAGCGCTATTTAAAAAAGAAGGAAAAAAGTGCAATGCGTATGCGTACAGGGAGAGGGGGTGGGGCCACTGCGCACGCCATGTGTACAAGGGGAGGGGGTCTGGAAAGTCGGCATTTCGTGCGTACCTACTTTATGGATGGCCCCTTAGCATATAGTTGACATTCAGTTTTTGTTTCTTTTGTGTTTTGTTTGGGGGCTTTTCTCTCGTTTCTTTTTTTCATGATTAATTAATGAGAAATTTGAGAATATCACAGCAAAACCGATTTTCAGCACCATGCCGTATGGAATCACCATGCAGGGAGCATATAGGTGACAAATATGACCGGGTGGAGGTACAGCGTAACTGGTAAAAACATCCCTCAGACAGGGACTGCGGCGGAGACTATCAAAGTCGCTTCATTGTGCTGTGCTTGTAGACGCCTGTCAAGGCTTGAGTCGGTCCCAGCTGAAAAATGCCAATATTACGGCAGGTGCACAGGCGACTATTGGGTGCGAAAAATGTTTCCAGCGACAAAAACCAAAACTAAACCCGTAACATTCGCTTCTGTCTGAAGATGCGGAGGCCCGTGTCAAGTAGGCGGACCATTCTGGCCAGATTCACCTCGACGGGAAGCGAGTCGAGTAGGCCTAAGCGATGGGCCCCGAGCGGGACCAATGAGGGCCCAATATTATCGATGAAGGGGTGCTTCTGCTCAAAGTGCAATTTGGCAAATAATTAAGTAAAATTATTATGTATAATTATGTATAATTAGTGCTGCCATGGCAGTGAAAATGGCCACGATCTGTACAATTTGTAGCAATGATATTAATTGCTGAGAGTGATCAGGACTATATATGTGTGCTTCACTGCCAGTGTCTAGACAACCACACGATTTGATGAGGATAACCGTCGAAAAAAACAGCATTGAAACCTACCTTTTCCGGCGTTCATTGAAAACTTCTTCTATGATTTCAACCTCACTATTTGAAGTAAAAGGAGGACACGACTTTTGATTCCAAGAATTATTGACTGTTTTCAGTTGTAAACAATCCAACGGGTATCCTGATGCAAAATTTAACCTAAGCCCACAAACTTGTAACTTCATGCTTTCCAAGCAGAATATTTTCAGAATCAAGTGTGCGAGATCAACCAAAAATAATTAAGTTGCAACGTTAATTTACATTCTACACAAATAAATGAAATTAAGTTCTTTAAATTGGTTGAAATACTTTACCAGTAAAAACACAATTTACCGTATGTGCAACATGACCATTGTTCTGGACGTGTTTTTCACTCATGAATTGCAAAATATGACTTAATTCTGTTAATTTATGCCAGCGTTTTTTTACCGGTAGCGATTAATAGTGCAGACTCTGTGTGCCCATTCATAAATTACTAAGACAGTTTGACAAGTCGGAGTGTTGGAGTGACGTCACTGGTCATTACCAGGCTTGGACTTAGATGGTAAGCATCCTACTTTACAAGACCCCTCTCGAATTGCCTCCTATTCCAGTTGGCAGGCTGCGTTTGCAGAAAATGTCACTCTAGTGTCAGATGTAGTCTACATTTGCCTATTGTAAATTAAAGAAAGCCGCAATTTTCATAATTCTGTGCTAGGAAACGGAGCGAGGCTTGTTGGTAAATGTTACTTTTGTTTCTGTACTGACCTTCGACCACTGTACATGACTGTACTGTTCAGTTTCACCGGTCTCTTGCTGTGCGGGTGGAAAACTATGGAGCCGGCCCTCTTCCTTAAACTTTGCATTAAGGGGCACATTAAATTTTAGCAGCCGTCACGTAGCGATCCTGAGTGAGGGTGGCATTGCTCATGACTGTATGTCAAGGTCAAGGCCGTGTGAGCTGGGCCCAATTTCACGGTGCTTACCGTAGCAGAAAAAATTCTGCGTTTACGCCGAACGTAATTCACGGGTTAGCGAGGAATTTTGGATTGTGCGCATGCGTACATCCCGTAACTAAGGATTCTGCGCTTATAAAAGGGTTAGCACAAAATTTTTCTGCTTGCACGGTTAGCGTAGAATGGGGATCGTAAGCACTGAATTCTGCGGTAAGCAGCACCATGAAATTGGGCCCTGCAAATCACAAATTTTGCTCTCCATCCAGACAATGCTCTTTATTGCACAGACGCCATAAAATATTCTGGACTCACAATGTTCTTTCAAAGACTGAAGACACAGGCGGCCATCTTACCATACCGAATACAACTTTAGGTGATCGTTGCCATTGTAAATTGTTGCCACGAGCAAAAGTTGGTTAACAATCCGCCATGAGTTGAAGTACAACCTCACAGGCGAAAGAAGGGCAGACTGGTACGATGCTTTCTAACCAGGTTCTTCAGTTGCACGCGTTTGGCATACACATACGCGAAGACCATACATTCGAGCCTTGATCTCCATTGGAGATCAATGCATTCGAGTATATGCATTCGTTCCGTGTAGGGCCTACTCAGCGTGCCCCCCCCCTGTCAAACGCACCCGTTTCATATGTATACTTGTGGGGTATTTCCTTTGCTCTCGTGTACAAAACTCCCACACAACACGGAAAAAAAATTCAAATCACAGCCATTTCAACCAAGTTCAGTTTCCTGGGTTGAAATTTCAGCCGTATTTCCCTTAAAAAAACACTTGAATTTGCGACAGACGAATTGCACTGGGAAATTTCTCCTTTTTGCGTAAATTTGGAAAATCTATTTCGTGAAATTCTTATGGGGTACCACTTTAGTACCCCTCAAGGATCAAAACTGGCCTTGTGGGGTACCTCCCATTGTTCCGGTACCCCACAAGGCACCATGCCACAAGCGCAAACTTCAACGCTCCTATGTGCAATGGGTTCGTACCACAGATATATAAACACATAGACCGCCAGTCCGCGTAGGCCTATTATTTTGCCGTTACTGGGGAGGGTTAAAAAGCGTGGGCAAACAACTGGCGAAAAGGTGGATGGCATCGCGTTCAGTGCGAATTGCGCTTGACGCACATAGATTGTATATGGGTAATTCCAGAAAGGGTCCATTTTTTTCATGTCCCTGTCACATGTCACATATGATTTTGTACGTTCAGTACACATTTTCTAATTTCCAAGAATGATAAATTAATGCAAATTACCTGCCAAACAAATATTTAAAGTGTGAAATCAATGCCAATTATATTCCCATGTCAAATAAGAAAGGTCAGTTGTAACAGGGATACAAAAATGTCACACTTTTGGACCACTAATTTCTGGAACTACCCTAGTTTACATCTGCTTTAAAAGTACGTTTCTTTATAGGCTCTTTGGTACTGCTGTCTCTTCTTTTTGACGTGTTGCAACCGCATTGTTTCTAATCAGCAAAGGCCAGAAAAGTAAACAGTGGATTTTTTTTCCAAAATCAATAAATGGATTCATAGAATTTTATGGCTGGAATTCTTCAACTGTGTGTAATTTCCCCACACCAAGGGGTGAATTTTTGGATTTAGTCGGGTGCCGTCTCAGCTACGGTACCCTGCCGTTGTTTTGAATAGGAGCCGCACGTCTATGGGTTTAAATGTCTGTGGTTCGTACCAAATGACTGTCAATTTGATTTTCAAACGCACCCTCTTTGTCTCAGCATTCGGTACGGTACGATGGCCGCTTCAATGGCTGGCTGATCAAGGGCATTGCGAGTGCATGCTCTAAATGACGTGTATGCTTTATTATTGCAGAGCATCACTTATTTCAACAATCCCACAGCAATGTATGACATTCAAGAACGAGCGTGCAAAATAGGCAAAATTCAAACAGAGCATTAGTTTATTATTTTAATTCCATTATTTTCTCAATCACTCACAATATTTTTGATAAAAATTAATACCAGGAGCCCAACACGGAGGTAGGTTAAAATACTACATAGTAAAAAACGTTTTTTTTAATTAATATTTTTCAAATATTCTCAGTTGAGAGTTGCAGTGGAATAAAGCATAAAGCTTGTATATTCCACTTATTAAGATGTATTGATGCATTCAACATATGAATTTATTGATTAGAGTTACTCAAATACAGCAAACGCGTAACGTCATTTACAAATAATCAGAACAAAAGCAGAGAGACAGGCTGAATACGTGGAAGTTAAAAAAATGCATCACGTGGTAAACAATTACGCTTGTCATTTTCATATTTTCGTCTATAGTCGTTGCATTTATTGAGAACAAAGTTGAGAGGATCCCGAATAATTATTATGGTTAATCAATGAACCAGTTTGGTACGGTAACCCAACAACGCATGACCAAAGCAAAGCGCGCCCGAGGCCAAATCAGAAGGGCCCTAGGCGGGCTCGCGTGCGTGCACAGCTCCCGAATGACCTTGCCTTTCTTGAAAGACCAAACTGGTTCATTTACGAGGTTTTTCTATTTTGCTTCAACATGCCACCAATGTCGTTTGCTATTAGAAAAATGTTCGGAGATTACGATTTTCCGGTGTAGCCAGAAACTGTAGGTCTATACTGACATGTGGCAAGGTCATGAAGTTGATATGCACGATCTCATGTACCATCTCATAATTTCACATTGCGGAAGATAAAACATGACTGAACAAGGTTATTACTATACTCAAGGAGTTCCCAATTCTGTTTAGAAAGGTACTTGCTGTCAAAGTGAGGGCAAGGCCGCGTACTTCCAAATATCCTCCCCCGAACATCAAAAACCATATTTCATTTTAACTCATGTTCTCCCTCTTCGATCTGTCACTGCCCGTCCGCCATCTTGTCGAGCGTCGAGTCTGATGGAGAAAAGCCCGGCTCGGGATTTCCTAGTCGTTTATTGCTCAGTGAATAAGGTATAAAGCTTGCATGACGCGTAAAAAGGAGTGGTTCAAAAATGACCCCTTTTATAAATTAGATACCACGAAAAATACGCGTATATACCAAGATTAGTAAATGTTATGCTACGCTTCGCGATGCTATGCAAGAAAAAAGAGTCAGTAATATTTTGGCCTCCGTAAACGGACTCCGTGAATTTGTGTCAATTTCTAAAATAAAATGTACTTCGATATAATGTACCATTATACTGAACACTCTTAAAAGCGCACTGACAAATATTATCCGTTCATGTGCACAATAATGTCCACTTGCAATCCCGTGATGCGTTGGCGGCACAAATTCCTTGCAATAATACTAATGCTAAAAGGGTCGAAGGAAGAATAGTCGATTGTATATCCCGTCCCCCCGCGTTTTTTCAAGGCTCCTCCCCACGACACGAGCACTACATCTGCAACACGTTAGTTTCCTAGCACCATGACACTGCCTTAATTGTACTTTCGCATGATGTAGGAACAATGACCGTGGATTACATTTGGCGATAGACATCCATGTACTATAATACACTCGCGTTGCAATGGGGAACCCACAGCTGTGTTGCTTGTTAAACCATGAACATACTGCAAAGAATACTCAAGGAGTGTATTAAAGGACCCATTCTGAAGCCTAGTATCCTGTGCTCTCAACCAGGACAGGTTTTGTAATTTCTAAACAAAACCATACATCCTGTGATAACATTCACCTTGACTATTCATCGCACGCTGTCAACGAGCGCCCCTCCCTCTTGACACCTTCCTTTGTCTGCACGCTTGAAAAGCTCCGGTCACCAACTCGCTTCACCAAGGCGTGCCATGCCAAGGTGGCGAAAAAGCTTTTCTCCCAAAACATTGAAATTGACTTTACACCCAAGGTTATTTGATATACATGGCATACATAGGTGCAGAACGTGCCTAAGTTATATTATCTGCACCCGTAGGTTGGGGGGGGGCAGGTAGTACTTTCGAAATACACCGTCCACTGCAAGGTACTCTATTGTATGTACTGTATTTTTAAGAAACAGTTATTTTCTCCTGTCTCCCTCTTCATTTAAACGTCACAAGTACAGATTTAAAAAGGTTAAAGGAAAACACCAACTTTTCATGTCAGTGATATCGTTTCATGTTTTGAAAAACCGATAATAAGCGACAAATTGCCAATGAGGGCGCTACAGAACGAACGCCTCAGCGGAGCGGTGTTAGGAGAAAAGTGCGACACGAGGTAATGCATGACGTGTTTTGCATTAATATACATGTAGGCTGGGGGCGTACATGGAGGTTCAATGCAGGAGTGAATGGCAAAATATAGGACCTGTTTGTTTCAGGAGCATCAATCCGTCGTTGGTTAACTGACACCACCACCCATCTCACGGATGGAGCGAACCAGCGTTGGGATCACTGATTGAGATCCAGATCCACCTGCTATAAATATGCTCACTGATCAAAGTTGAGCAGTTGTATTGTTTCCTGTGCAAAGTAAACATCAAAATGTGCTCCCATGGTGTAGTTTTGTGTTGAAATTTGGAGAAAAAATGACATGGCCTCTCTGTGTACGGTTTTGCACCTCTAGGTGCGACGGGAGATTGTTTTACAGATCCAAGCTTCAAAAAGGTGTGCTTTGGGGGTACATGTTTTCTATAAGGATCAATCACACACAGTGCTCGAAGATAATTTCTTCTGTGCGGAGAAAGGTAAAAACCATATGACTCAAGGGACGACGTTAGCTGTGATTGTTGATTTTGAATTTAAATTGCCCCATGAAGAGGCGCTAGAGAAGCGCTCTCAGTAAAGCTTTCATGATTTGCGACCAGTGAGCAGTCGCCTTGCCATGAACCAAGTTTGCATGTGTCGACACTACACATGTGGGAAACCGGTTGGTTGAAGGGGCATGCAACTTCAGTTTCAAAGTTCACAGGAATTTCTTGTTTATCCCAGCTACAGTGAGACCGCTCATTGAGTGCACACACCTTATAAAGGCCGTGGCCATCTCACAAACTCAGGCTTCGGCATCTAAACGTCCAAAGGTCATGGGTGCCATCACGTCATTCGGTTCATCGGGCAGGCAGTTGCCAGAGTCGACTGATTTTTTTTCTGCCATTGTCCTCTGCCGTCCGCTGTCAGTCACATGTAAGTCCAGTGTCAGTGTCTTCAGTCCCAAACCGTCGGGTCAGACGGTCAAAGCTCGGTGGCGGTTCCGCGTCCAGCTTCGTGATTGTAAACTCCCGGCAATACCAGGATATGACCCTATCTGCGGAGTCAATTAGCTACACGTGTATGTCAGTACTCGTTACAGCATGTAACAATCCAGACCAGAAGTTTTCAATCTGACTGATAGGATTTTCCAGCCTGACTGGAGATGCAGGGTCATAAAAAGCGACCAAAGTTCAGGTTCGTGAAACGGCTCACAATACGTTACAACATGCAAAAAGACCACGCATTATCTCAAAGTATACGTCAAGATCAAATTTTGGGGCAATCAAGTATATTTTGTATTATTAGGAATATAAGGTTGCTTCCACAAAACTATACTTCAGTGAGAATAACAAAGCCTCTTCATCGGCAAAACAAGCACGGACCCAAACGCAATAATGCATAAACGGACAATGTCGCTCTCAAAGGGATGACGCATGATTATAGGCAGCTACGACAAATTGAGAATAACGACCTGCACTTCAAACAAAGTAGGACTGCTGTTGACCACTAAGGATAAACAGCAGCCAAGACGAGAAATGTATTGTGCGGAGGCTTCTCCGAAGCTGAGATTCATGCATGTTGCAAGGCTTAATTACATCAGTTTTGTTAGTAGACAGGTCACAATAATAACTTTTACATCATAGACCTAGGAACGTTCCCAGCTCTATGATTGCATTAAATACACCATTTATAGTGTCGACGTCAATTTGTTGGGGTCAAGTATTCTTGAGTACACCTTGCATGCGTTGTTCACTAGGTTCACGAGTCTGTATCCAGAGAGGGCGGTACTTTATCTGGAGATCGCTGAAGGAGGAGAACTAACGCGGTGGTGCAGGTGCACATGACGAAGATAATCAGAAGCACTCGGTCCATGACCAGCGCCACCCGGGCCCAGTCCGCTTTGAGCTGTTGTTGCTTCTCTTTCCTCTTCTGCAAGTTCTTCATGTGTTTGAGGATGCCCTCTACGCTCCTCTCCAGTTTGGCCAGTCGCCGCTCGCTACTGTCGCCGTGGTGGTCCACAGTCTCGTCCATCAGGATCTCGTGCTCAGGGTAAGACGTGTGCAGGTTGGCGCTGAACCGCACGCTGCGGCCGCCGTTGCTGCTGCCGCCGCCGCCGCTGCCGGGAGGCTGGAAGCTGATGGGCGCCGTGCCTTGGGAGGTGTTCACCACTTTGTACTTGAGCTCGTGGGCCTCGTGATGGCTGTGGTCCCGGCGCTTCTTCCTGTTCGGGCAGGGCCCTACCAAGCAAATGCCTGCCAGGAACTCGAAGGCGTTGGTCCGTAGGATGCGCGGAACTTCCTTACCGTTCAAACCTCCCCGCTCGTTCACGTTCAAGACGAACACATTCATAGCAGTAGAAATGGAAATCAAAAACATCGTGGCGGCGTAGTACTGACCTGAAATGAACCACAAATTAAGGAATCGGTAATACAGCTTCAAATTCGCCGCAAAACCTCCTCCGTACATAGATAAGAAAGATGGCTAGATAAAGGTACCAAACCCTTAATGCCAATTCATACCGCGTATATAAATCTCGCAAGGTCTTAAGAACTTGGCAGCAAGCGTTGAATGACAGAGTTGTCGAAAGCCTGTAGATCAATATCGAAAAGCCTGGCTTGCCAAGCGCCTGAGAATTCCTACCAACAATGCAAATGGGGCATGATCACCGGGAAAAGAGTTTTAAGTACGTGTACCTATGTTAGATACCCGAACGTTGTGATTAAGAAACAAGGTTGGACACTAACCAATGAGCGGGACCTCTTCTGACGTCCGTGGCATCATCTCGGCAACCAGCAGCAAGAACACCGTCAGAGACAGGATGAGGGTGATGCTGAGAGACACCTTGACCACCCCGACGTCATAGGGCATGAAGAACCCCAGCATGGCCAGCGAGGACAGCAGGATGCAGGGCATGATCAGGTTGTAGATGTAGTATAAGGGCTTGCGCTGCAGCCCGAAATAGAAGGTGACGTCCAGGTACTCCTCTGGGCAGCAGATGTACTTGATGGCGTGCCGGCGCACCACGGCGTAGGTCAAGTTCCACTGTTCGTTGGGCACGTAGCTGCTCAGGTCTGCGTCGTCAAACACCTTGGTCAGGTCCATCTGGAAGCTGTTGTAGGTCCAGGAGCCGAACTTCATGCTGCACTCCTGGTAGTCGAAGGGGAAGAACTTCACGTCGATTTTGCAGGTGCTCTTGAGCAGGCAGGGCTTGGACCAGAGGTCCACTGTGCCGTTATTGTTGACCAGCGCATTGGAGGTGCGGCTGGTCGACACGTAGTCGTTTGAGTCGGCACTACGAAGGAAATGCAAAAAAACAAAAAACAAAACAAAAAACATGGTAAAATGCCTTATGCAAAGAACTTGGAATAAATGTTGGCTATTGTTATAGTGAGGATTTTAATTCCAGAGTTTCTGGGTCAGGCCAGCCGGTGGGGATTATTAGCTTGACCCTCTGGAGTCTGAACTTCAATCCTCCTGGGCTGCCATTCTAATCTTTCTAGGCCAAGCCCTGGAAAATGTTTCTTTTATAAGACTCTTTGTATAATGAGTGAACAGGGAATGTGCTAGGACACTATAAATTGGGTATATACTCCCATGCCGGGTTCTCTGTTGACCATACCACCTCGGGCAGGTGAGGCTCTGACGGCACCAATGAGCCAGCTACTATCGGCGTCCAAGTCAAGCTACCTTAATGAACCCGCTGGGCGTGGCCGTCCTTCCTAAGCTTCGAATCATCGTGCTGACACTCAAGGCTACTGCTCCATTACCCTGAACTGTACCTACACAGGTATGGCATCTACCCGCCGTGGATATTTTACTGTTGAGCCAAGTAGCACTGCGCGTCGCCCTCAGGGCCAGTGGTCAGTCAAGTCCCCCTCGTTGGACGTGCATCACACCTCGCCCACTGGTCAACAGAGCGACCCGGTCTTCTGTGTTTTCCTATGTTCACCGGGCAATTTCTTTGTATGTATATCGGCCGATACTTCATTCATTATAATTGTATAAATTTGTAAAATATTTATTTACTTATTCATCTCCCCATGTTGATACCCATAGGTCTGTATAAGCTGATGTCAACACTCGATTTGAAAGTCTCCAATGTCAGTTATATACTTTATTTCATACAGTTTTATAAAAAAAGTCTCAACAAACATCTTTTAACTCATACGTGACACTAGTTCATTGAAGAAAGTCAACCCTTTGGACAGAACATTGTACAACGCAAAAAAAGACATACGCTAGATGCATTTTGAAGTCTGGATGTAAGTTATAATTTTGACAAAAATCCAGGCGAGTAAAAAGGATTTTCTTTGCTCGTTTTCAAACCAGAATTTTTTTCACGTTCAAGCCATTGTCAGACTCCCAGTTTTAAGTCGCTTTCAAAACTTCCGTCCCGTTGAAATACGTAACCCCTGCCCCCATTTAGGTTGTACACCTTATTTATATCCGTGGAGCAAAATTTAACAAAACTTGATTATTGTAAAACAGGAAACCGTGTTACCCTGTAGACTGCCTACTCCTTCACTCTATCCGTTAAGGCCGGTTCACAATTGGGGCTAAAGCAAACACAAATACGAATTTGTAACGTCGGATCAAAATATTCACGCTGCGAATTCGCAAAAGTCGAACACGTTATAACTCGAGCGAACTTTTGTTGCAAATCTTCCGTGACGTCAAATTCGGTTCGCTTTCACATGCGCCTGTAGTATAAACGGGGCTCTTAGCAAAACTGAACGAGAATATTGTTACACGTGTGAAAACCAGTTATCGACGTATTATCACAGCCCCATAGATAGCCAACGTGGCCCACAATGGTAAACCGACACGAGAAGAGAATTTTAAAACAAAACTGTCGGAACGCTGATAGACACAAAAAGGCGGCAAAAAAATTTCATAAGTGGAAAATTGGGACAGCAAAAATTGACAAAGCGAGATGGTGAAAAACTATAAACGCACTGAAAATCAAGTTGTCAAGTATTATTCAAATGAGTATTATGTTGTATCTTCATAGACTCATTTTAATTGAACTTACAGGAGACGAGGTTTCAGTTTTACAGCGGACAAACAACCTTGGCTATTCGCCAGAATGATCCTAGCCCTGCTTAACAAAACAGTTTGTCAATTCAAGAGAATACAAGATGTAACGGGATATGTCAGCAGTGCAGTACCTGCAGCATTACTTACTTATCGTAGAGTGTTATGTCTGGTACCCAGAGCTCCGTAGCGGGGATTCTTAGGATGGTGATGCCGCCATAGTCGTCAGAATCCCACCTCATTTTCTCGTCTTCCCAGTGCTGAATTCAGCAAGAGTAAAACAGTGTGGAACAGTTCATTAAAAATAGCAGACTAAGTATAACGTCAAGGGGAATTACAGGTGCCAAGGAAATGCTACATTTCGGTGGAGCCTAAAATCATAAACACATTATGTTTGAGGGAAACAGATGGGACTATATTTGGCAAAATTTGGAACTGATCTAAGCGTACCTGCTCAATCCACACGTTGGTGGTTAAGATCTGATTCCGTTCGTCCTGAGGAAAACAAATGAACAAACAGAATGAGTTAGGATTCGACTTGCAACAAAAATGAGTTGTCTTATCAGAACCAAGATTACAGAAAGACACTGCCTCATTTAAGTTTGGTACTGAAATTGCGACGTGGGAAAGCAGTTACGAGTGTAAGTTTACAACGGTCGCCTCTATGTCCACGCGTTACCACTATACCCACGGCTATTACCAAACAAGGCTCTAATGACAAAAATAAACACGCTTTGAAGCCAGCCGGTACGATATTATAAATGGAACAGGAATCGGAACTACACCGGCGCCATCAGATTGACCAGCATTATGAAGTACTGTGGGCGTAACAGAAGGGATAAACGAGGCTCATCGAGCTGACTTGAGTGAAATTGTGGGTAGAGTAAAGGGTCTGAGTGGTAGACGTCGGGAGGTTCTAGATGACAGTCTGTCATTCTTTTTCTCATTTGATTTCTGGTTGAGAAGACAATTGTTGAAAAGTTGTTTAATTTCCGTCTGAAATTTATAGCTTTACTTCTCCTTCCGTTTAAAGGAAGACACGCTCACTGTGAACGGTGTTGTCGGCGTTTGGAAGCCTCTTAGCAAGGTACACTTATAGGCCTACAGTAACATATTAATGTTACAATTCGTACAGTGGCATATTTCAGTGTAACAGTCATAAACGGCGGCGTGGTTATGTATACTCAATACATATATATAACATGACACTTTCGATCCGTAGTCACTTTTCAAATTCACGATTGCTCATTTGTGTTTCACATAATTCTTAAACCCTCAGTTTGCTGGAAAGAAGTAGTTCCGGTTTTTCATTACTTTCAATATTGTACGTTTCCTGGCGAAAGGCTTTAAAATTTCACCTCGTTACCGTTCAATGAACCGATACGGGGGGACCCTTCTCTATAAAAGACAAACCATTTACGTCAAAATCGATGAAATATTAAGTATGATTAGGGAAGTTCGGTGACACTCACTTTAGGCTTTAGAAATATAAGAAACACCCCATCCTGAATCGATTTTGTGAAAAAGAAAATCTCTCCGTTAACCCCGTGCCATTTCACAATCAACCGTGAAATGCGATTAAGACGCGGCCGGCGGCGATACATGCACCAATTTCAGACGGCCGGCGGCCACAAACTGCTCAGCGTTTGTTGAAGGAGGGTTAGAGTTCTCATTGGATTAATACTTCCATGGACCCCTTCAATAAGTGGATACGTGCAGATACATCTGCAGGTTCCCCAAAATGATGAAATTCCCGTGTGGGCTTCTACTGTGCAGATTACCTAAATCTCGAGAGCCAAAAGTAAATAGCAGCGCTCCGCTCTCAGCGCAAAAGAATGAAAGCCACCATGAAGTGTCTTGCGGAAAAGACTTTTTTTTTCAATGAGAAGCACTGTAAACTTTTAATCCATCATTTTATCGCTGGGAAAGTTGACCTCACCGAGTTTAAACAGTGAACCCAAATATCATTTTTATCACGAAATAATGCGACACGTTAGCGAAGTAACACGTTTGCGAAATACCGCAGTACCTTGGCAAAGTGGCCCAATTGTTTTGCTGAATAATATCAAAGTTTGCCAAATATATCATTATTAGTATATTGAAACAACTCTGTCTGCGTGACGCTGTGAAGTATCACACTCGTCTTGCCTGACTAAAGGGTCTCCTATTTTTCGTGGTATAGTTCACAAATCATCCTTCTTGCGGAACACACGAAATCTTAAGTGCTGCAGTAGGGTTCGTAATAAAAGGTTTTCAAACTCTTAAAAAGAGGAAGACGAAAACACACATTACGCCTTCTTCCCCGACCCACATTTTCTGTCTTGAGTTGAAAGCGGGGGCGCTGTCTTCGTAAGTGAAAACCACTGCATATTCTGCAAGGATTAGTGAGCTCATTTCACAGTGCGTATCGCGTGATTTCGCAATATTACTCGATTAGGCTATTCGCATTTAAGAGATTTTGTTTTACATCCGATAAATGCGGGGTTATACGTCGCAGAAACCTGTACCCACGGGCCCCTTCGGAAAGAAAATGTGTTCTCACAGAATTCCCAGGTTGGACTGTATTCAACGTGGTCGAAATACTTGTCGCTTGAGGTTGGACCCAAGGCTGAAAAGTTTGAGTTGCACCATTTTTGGAAAATAGCGAGAGGAAAACTCGATTATCTTCAGAACTGAGAGACAGGACTAAGGGAGAGACCTATAAACTGATTAGGTTTGGTCCCATTAGGCAAGCAGGTGAACAACGCGCAAGACAGGTGTGTGACACAACAGAAGAAGGAGAAAAAAAGTCTTCAAGCCTGCTGAAAATCTGAAACATGATTGCCTGCACTCCTCACAAATTAAGTTCGAGAACTTACAGTGCTGTACCATCCTTGCACTATCTAAGCAAGAATCCAGAATCTTAAAAGTCTGTACCGTACGCTAAATGGAAAGGTCTATCGCATGATTTGTAACAGGCGCACTATGCATGCTTTCAGCCCGAGTTATCTTTCAAAGAACTGGTAGAGGCATCCGCCCCACCCCTAGACATTTTCTCTGATACTGTTGCAATGCTTTTTCCCCACAACGAACCTCCAGGAGTTTGTTCCAGAATGCGTTGCAGTCATTTTGACAATGAGTTTGCAAAAACAAGTCCGCCGTTCCAGCGAATTACTTATTCTTTTTTTTCAGGGACACGTGATCCAAACACGTCCACCTTTCCCACTGACGATCTCAATAACAGACGCTGGCTGACACTGGTGAATTCATGAAGTCTCACATGGCCGGAACAACGACATGACCCTGCGTCAGATTGAACATCACTTTATTTAGATTTTATACATGCATGCCAGTATAGTATAAAAGTATAAAAATGATTGGTATGGGATAGATGTATTCTAAAGGGGTGACAGCCGCCCTCTCCCAGCTGCGAGATGGTTAAAAAAAAACAGGTATTCGAGGTGAAATGGAAAGAAACTGTCATGAGCTACTGCATAATTATATCGATTCTGAGGAAAACGAGACGAATTTCCTCTTTTTTTTTTCAGCTTCAAACACCGTCAGGTACACAATGTATACGCTTGCGAGGTTCCAGTCTATCGTGCGAGATTCTTAATGTGTAATTTATGCATGATTTATCTGGTTACTCATCCGATTAATTTGCGTTAATTGTAACTTGGTGCACCGCGCTCACCGAGGAAGATTGTATTTCTTGCTGTGCTCGCCTTTGGTACCTTCGTACATACACGGACGCATCTGAAAGAGTTCTGTTTACTGACGAAAAAGAGGCGATAAAATCAGGTCACGATCACCAATGGTGCTCCTCGGGAGAGGGGGTACGGGGTCACACTGCTCAGACATCGGGAAGGCAAAAGGTGCTTCTCCGCGGTTCAGCGTACGCAAAGATAGACGGGCCAAGTAGGGGTAAGAAAGAGTTTAATTAATATGCATTCGCCTCACGATCAAAGGGAAGTTACACCCGAGTGGCGCTGTCGCAAACACCCATCTTGCTAACAAAGTAAGTGGAAGGGCTTGTTGCTCCATATACCCAAGAATCACGACTGAAGTCGAAATCAGAGATCTGGCAGCTAGATGTCGGATAGTTCCTCTTATACACCGTACTCTGGTTTCTAAGCCGGAAGGGTTAGTTTTGTTCCGAACTCTCACCCTTTTTGAGATAAACCCACCGAGCGTAAATTATGGGTAAAACATGGTAAGAGCAAGTTCTATTGGATGTGGGTCAAAGCTACTACTTAGAAGGTAGCCGCCTTATGGCGTTTCTTACTCATGTTGCATCCACTTAGCACGGCACGCAGCTATCCCAATTCTAATGAATGAAAAAAAAGAGAAAATAAGAGACACTTGTTTCCAACTAAGACCCCATATAAGTCACATAAGTCAGATTCCTATGCGTTTGCAGGTGCGGTTTGTGGCAGTTTGCCCTCTGACTAATTTCATGTGTTATAAAAGTGGCTATGAAATAATGTACCCGACATCAAATATTCCGCGTAATCAACTTTGCTCTTTCCAGAAGTCTAAGGAAGAAGGAAATCGTCACCTATATTCAGCTTTGTGTGCACGCCACAGGCACTGATTACTGTGTTCCCTAAAGGCGAAGCGAGGGAGGGTGACATGTATACGTTTTCAATTCTGGTTGCCAACAAACGAAGTCACTCCTCGACCAGTTTCAATTTCCACTCTTCGTCTGAAATTCCAGATTTTGGTGCAATTTTAAGACCCCCACGGGCGATATCATGTGTTGGAGCCGGCTCAACACATATACGCGGTCGCCGGTCCTGCGCGCTGCGAATGAAAGTCCCTCTTGAATCCCTGCAAATGAGTTTATTAAATATCCACTATCTATTTCAGCAACGATGGAAGGGGGAAAATCCCTTTTAGTGAAACTGTGAGATTAAACACGGCTGAAATATAGCCACTGCCAGGCCCAAACACAAGGAAGTGTGTACGACTTTGGCTCTTTGACATTTGGAAAGTAGCGACAGAAGAATTTTATATCGTACTGCACTTCCAAATTTAGATTTAATATCCAACAGTAAAGTCTGTCCTCATAAAATTTAAAACACCAACCGGAAAAGTAGATAAAAGTACCTGAAGACAAGGAATAGTAGCTGAATGTGAGATAAGGCTCCCCTGAGAACTTTTTTTTTCTAACGTTCAGCCGTTGGCTTTTGTCACGACAAGCTTTAGACACTATCGGTCCACGCTGTCGAATGTGGTCTGCACCACAGCCATTTAACCACCATTAAGCTTGCTCAGCTGGTGATCCTAGCTGTCTCGCGGTTACCGACGTGTAGCGCTAGCACACCCCTGTATGAGTGTTTTGACCTCGACTCAAAACTGGATTTTACCATGACAACTGGTCGTCATGGCAACCGCTTCATATGGATCTGAGCAAGGCGACCCGACACGACAACACCGGCACTTTAATTTGGGAAAGAAAATGAATAGAGACTTCCCACTGCACAAAGACTGCATCGCTTACACAAACCAAGCAG